TCTTAGCACCCACCTACGCGGCAAAGAGCCTTGGTAAATATCCCACGTTTTTCTCCTCGAACCTTGGAGAAAGTACCAGAATACAGGGGATACACTTCATCCGGGATGCTTCCTCGCCAAGGGCTGAGCTTATTGCCTAGGCCAAGGGGTCTTCAAACTACGGCCCGCGGGCCACATGCGGCCCGCAGAGGAGTCTGATCCGGCCCGCCAGGTTTTTTGGGCAGTGAGCGCAGCCGAGGTGTTACAGTAGGAATTAGTAGTTCATATAGTCCGGCCCTCCAGCTCTCTGAGGGACGGTGATCTGGCCCCCACTTTAAAAAGTTTGAGGACGCCTGGGGACAGTTACTGCAGCCATCTCCTGCCTCCATCCTCGAACTGCTATTAGGGACCGCACCTCTCAACAGTTCTTCCTAGAAGGCTAGATGTTTCGTTTCCGCCTTTCCCTTTAACTATGTATGAACTATAGACACAAAGGGGCAAGCACACTCTGAAAGAGCTGGGGAGAGGGGGAGGAGAGAAAACACACCATTTCTTCCATATCACAGTTCATTCAGAAGCTGCATCCGTACACCTGCAGATCCACTATGTTTAATATACAAGTCCTGCCATGATGAGATTTCAGTTGAAGCCAAGACAAAGCACAGATGCAACAGGAGAATCCTAAAAAGCTCACCAACCATCCGAAAGACCTGGAACGTTTGTCTCAAATCACATGAACCGCAAGGACTGGAGCAACCGCTCTGACCTCTAATGCATAGGAGGGTCCATAAAGAGCTCTCTCCTGAGGCTGCCAGGGCCTCCCGAGCCCTGGGGTTGGATGCTCCAGTTTGGGGATCCGGGGTGTCACCGTGTACAGTGCTTACGAGGGTTAATATTTATTGATGGCCTCGTCCCAGCTACAGGTGTAAGCACTGTGCTAACTCATTTTCCACAAAACAACCAACCGAGGTAGAAACTGCTCTCTCCCATTTACCAGGCGAGGGAACGGAAGCTGCAGGAGGTTGAGTAACTTTCTCAAAGACGCCCCGTGAGAGAAAGCAGCAGAGCCAGGGCACACACTCAGGTGGTTGGCTCTAGAGGCTACACTTCTTCATCTAGGACTCGTGGCTTTTGCCTGCACCTGCAAGTTCATTTCTGGGGCTCTCACCAGGTGGAGACTGTATTCTTATGTGTATAGGTTTTTGCTCCAACCCGCTGTCCCTTCCACAAGGCAAACCATGCCAGAAGCTCCCTCAAGCAATGAAGACACAGTTCCTCCCATCCTTTTATAGTGAGCCTATAAAATCCCTGGTCCATGGGCTTTTATTTTATTTTTTTTAATTGAAAGAGATAATCTCCTTTCTCTACCAATGTCCTTCTCTCTCTCTTCCCTAAGACAAAAAGTGTATGGGCTGAAAGAACAAATACACAACTAACAAGGGGAGCAGAGCAAAATAAAAAGCAGAGAAAGAATTAAGATTATGTTGAAAGTAACTATAGTCATCAGGGAATTGTAAATTAAAACCACAACGGAGACACCACTTCGCAACCACAGTATAGTCAACATAAAAAATACAGATGACAACACATGTTGATGAGGATGTGGAGACACTGGAATCCTCATACACTGCAGGTGGGGATGTGAAATGGCCCAGGTGCTTTGGAAAACGATCTGGCAGTTCCTCGAAAAGTTAAACCATGTGTACTTTTTTCAGAAATTTCACTCCTAGGTATGTACCCAAGAGAAATGTTCACACACAATTTGCACATGGATGTTCATAGAAGCATTATTCTTAATAACCAAAAAGTGAAAAGAACCTACACATCTATTAATTGATGAATAAACAAAAGGTGGGGTATACATACAAACGAATATTATTTGGCAAAGAGAAATGTAATACTGATACATTCTACAATATTGCTAGACCTTGAAAATATTATGCTAAGTGAACGAAGACAGTTACACACCAAAAAACCCCCACAATATATTACATGACTCCGTTGATATGAAATGTTCAGAATAGGCAAATTATATTTAGAGGCATAGAGTGGATTACTGATTAACTAGAAGCTGGAGATTGGTTAGTAATGACAAATAATTGCTAATGGATATAGGGTTTATTTTTGGAATTAGTGGTAAGGGTTGTAGTATGGAAAAGGCCATTAAATTATTTACTTTAAATGAGTAACTTGTAGGGTATGTGAATTGTATGGCAACAAAGCTGTCATACTTCAAATAAGATTTAAAACCTGGTTACAAAATAAAACCATTAGTCTATCCCAGGAGAATCTGTGTCTTTGTGAATGAGAAACCATAATTGCAGAAGTGACAGAAACCCCAAATCATTTAAGCAGGAAAGGGAATACATTCTAAAAGAACTGCTATATGGAAATGTGAAGGGGAAATGATTTCCATTTCATGGAATTCCGAGATAGTGGGTGTGTGGGAGTCATATCACCATAATGCATAAGTGTTACATGATGGGTTGCGTAACTCTAAATTCAGACCTTTCCCTCACCTGAAAGCTATCAGTTCCAAAAATAAAGGATCTAGAGGAGGTGAGATAAAAAAAAAAAAAAAAAAAAGAAGGCTGATGTTAACTCTTTTGCGACTATATTAAAAAGTTCACAAATGTAAGGCTTCTCTGCATTTGTGAACTTTTTAATACTGAATCCCATGCTCACAAAAGAAGATGTGATTAGCACCTAAAATGTATTTCCTACAATGAATTTAGAAATCGGACTCAAATTTAACTAGAAAAATGAAAGCCTCGGGGAGCTAAGAGGGAGACACTGACAGCAGACTGGCACTGTTTGAGATTCAGGGAGAAGAATTTAAGCGTTTGCCAAGCTGCTGGGCTATGTATCTACTTATAATGGGATTTTAGCAGAAATCAATGCAATCTCTGAGTAAAGCGAATGCAGCGTCTCCTGGAGTGGCAATACATCAAACGGTACTATGGAAGTTTCATGGCTATCAGAAGACGCAGCATTTATACGTTTTTCAAAACAGAATAATTAGATAGTAGAGAATTTCCTTCGCATTGTTTAGTCTCTAACTTTCAAACTATTACCAAGTCCTTTACTCCCACGAGGTCTTAATCAAGCATCGTTTGTGTAGAAAATCAGCTTACTGCTTTCTTTAAAAACAGGCGAGCCATTAATTGATCCAATGTGTTGGCAGTTCTGGCAGAACCTTTTTAGACAGGAACAAATGATGCCTCTTAGTCTGTGTTCCAAGAAGCCAAGTTTAAGATTTCATGCATATGCACAAAGAAACATTGAAAGAATCCTGCGAAGTCAGCCAACAATCTTGGCATTTAATGGAAAAAAATTTTAAAAAATCTCCCTCCCACCACCCTGCCAGTTGAAGATAAGATATTAAATATGTTTACTTAAAGATACTTTACATGACTTAGAGTGCTCTTCCAAAGTCCTCCAAATCATTGAATATCATACTTTAAGTAATGCTCTTATGACTCAAGGTCAGAATGCAATCTTTCCCCTTACAAAACTGTTGAGCGTGAGAAAGCACATCATATGTTCCTATTTGCACTATTGTAACTTTTCTAAGTTTACTGCCTCTCTGCCTCCTCATTAATCCCTGCACTGCATTTTTCTGGCCTAGGTGTTAGGGGCATTGCTGTCCACACCTGTTTTTGCTACGGTTGACCATTTCCTCTTCTAAAAACAGCTAGTGATGGTGACCCTCTGGTAATAAAAAAACCAATTAGATTTTTCACTAATAGGTGACATGAGGTCTTGGAATGAAAACTTAACCCCAAAGAATGCACCCCTTTCTCGTCCCAATGTAGCCAAAGCTTGGTGTTCCATTTCAATAGTATAACTGCTTATTAGCATCTGGCTTTTAAGGAAAACAACGTTTTTTGGGTTTTTTCGGGTTTTTTGTTTGTTTGTTTGTTTGTTTGTTTTGTTTTGTTTTTTGCTTAAGTGACTCCAGTCAGAAAATGCACCTGTCATTTCTATTCCCTTCTCCCTATGGATGTCACAGCTCCGCCCAGGAACTCCTCTGTGGAAGGAGGGGCACAGGAACAGGTAGCGCCCTGGACTCCGGGGTTCTGCTAAATGGAGCTGCTTATGCTGACAAGCCTGGAGAGGACTTCTTGTTCTTCCTGCCACCCAAGCACTGCTGTGTCAGTCAGGGCTAAACGGCCAGTTCCAGGGCAGTCACCTCTTTCTAGTCCCGGCACCCTGTGATCATTAAGAAAAGCCTAGCCTTTCTCTCCTGAAGTCCTTTCTATTGCCACAAACATAGTTAACCTCCCAATCAAGCAAAGGACAGTGCAATACTGCAAAAAAGTAGACATAACTTTATGGCCACCATGTCTTCCTGGGCTTGGGGAGGATAGTTATTACTTACCACCATGCCCGCCTGTCAGCTTCTCCGCATGACAGCCTGACAGAGCACAAGGCTTTTAACATCATGTTTGATGTACGGCAAGCCAGCCGGGGTGTGTGTGTGTGTGTGTGTGTGTTTGTGTGTGTGCTGCCCAGTCTCCCCAGAAGCACTGAAACCTGACTTGAGAAGCTAGTTCTCAGAGGAGACGAGCTGGAGCTGCTGGAGCCAGTAACCCTACCCACCTCCTGATGCACGAATGCGAGTATACCTGATGCACCCAGCGAGCGCAGAGCCCAGTTATCAGATCTACCCCATTGCACACAGGTGCTGGGCGTCCCTCCCCAGGGACAATGCCTGAGTTCTGCCCCTGAACTGCACCTTTCGGTTCAGAGAAAGTAGGCCACCTCAGCGACCCTCGTCCCAGCGACTCTCATCAAAACCGATCACACACACTCCCCAAACCCCCCAATCCAGTTCACCCTTGTTCTTTGTAACCCCCACAAAGTGACGACGCACAGAGAAACTTAGTAGGTCCAGGGAACAGAGACGCGTCTTTGCAGGGCACAGACTTCCCAGCACGGCGCTGGGAGGCAGGCGCAGGCCCACCGCCTCCATCCCCGGGACCTCCCCCCACCCCGCGCCGCCGGGGCGCTCAGCTCACCTGGGTGGGCCATGGTGATGGTCTCGTTGGCGCTGGCGCCCACGTTGAAGATGACCACGGCCGAGGCGTTCTGCAGGAAGGCGTTCCGGATCTTTTCCCTGTACGAGCAGTTGCCCTTGGGGATGAGGGCGATCCAGTTCCTGCCGTGGGCCGGGGCGGCGAACTTGGTGCCGGGGTCGCAGGCCAGGCGGTCGTGGGCCGCGCTGGCCATGACCACCTCGCCGCGGGCGTCCTGCTTGGGCGAGTGCTCGCCGTAGCGCCCGCACTCGGTCTTCTCGGTGTGCAGCTCGGCGCCGCCGCCCCCCGCCCCGGGCTCCGGCGGCGGCTCGGCGTAGGTGATGTTCACGAAGGCGGTGTACCATTCCTCCTTCTCGGCCACGGTGAAGTCCAGGCAGAGCAGATGCACGAAACAAAAGGAAAGCAGCCATGTTGAGAGAGCGAGGCTGCGGCACGCTCGGATGAGAGACATGGCCATCTTCATCCGCCGCCGGGGCCCCCTCCCCGGCCCCCCGCGCCCTCCTCCGGCCCCGTCCCTCCTCCCCCGCCCGGCCAACCGCGGGCCGGCTGCCTCCTCCTCCGGCTCCGGCTCCGGCTCCAGCTGCTGCTCACTCCCGAGCCCCGGGGGCCACGGCCGGGACGCGCAGCCGCCGGCACGGGGAGCGGATTCCGAGCGGGTGGGTGGCGCCCGCCCCTTCCCCTCTCAGCCCGAGCGCGGCGGCTGCATGTCGCTGCCCGGGCGCTGGAGGAGGGGAGCGGGAGGAGGGGGCGCTCCGGGCTTGCAGAGGAGTCCAGCTGCTGCCGCCGAGCGTCCTGCTCCTTCGCTGGGCTTCTGCTCTCATAGGGGTGGCAGGGGCCTCGGGAGCGCGCGGGGGGTCGGCTGGGCGCCCTCCAGCCCCGGCGCAGGCGGGCGCGGCTGCCGGGAGCGCAGGGTGCAGCCCGGGGTGCCCGGGCCGCCGCTCCTCCGCGCGCCTCTCCCTCGCCCTGCGGGCGCTCCGCTCCGGCTCCGCGCTCCACGGGTAGCCACACGCCGGACACTCTGGCCGAGGGAGAGCCCGGCTCCTGGGGAGTGGGTGCGAGCGGGCAGAGAGAAGGACTCGGTCTCTGTGTCCGTATATGGTGTGTGTGTGTGTGTGTGTGTGTGTGTGTGTGTGTGTGTGATGTGTGCGTGCAAGGAGGGGCTTAGTGTGATGTCAAAGATTCGAGGCTTCGCTTTGCCAAGCTCCCTGGGTCTCTCTCTATGGGCAGCAGCGACCCCTTCTGGGTGTCAGATTCAACTCCGTACTCGATTTGGATCAGTAGAGGCAAAAAAACGGATGCGCCCCCTTGACCTATGCGTATAAGGGGACGACTTGCTGCACCTTATATACAGCGGTGTGTGTGTGTGTGTGTGTGTGTGTGTGTGTGTGTGTGTGTGGTCATCAGCCTTCCCATTCGCAGGAGCAACTGCAGTGAGCTCCCTAATTACCATCCGAGGGTCACAAGGTAAGGCCTACTGGTGGGGAGGTCCTTCCCAGCCACGCCTGAAAGATCTAGGGCAGTGACCCTCAAATGTAAGTGTGCATCAGCATCACCTAGGGCTTGTTAAAATTCAGACCGACGGGTTCTGACACAGACTTTCTGATTTAGCACATCCCGGGTGGGGCTCCAGACAGCATGTGTCTTTCTAACAAATTCCCACCCAGGTGGCGCTGCTGGTCTGGGGACCACTCTGTGCAGGTGGGCACAGGAATGGGCTTCTTTCCTTGCTTCTGGAAGCAAATGCGTGATGACACTTGTTTTCTTGCAGAATGAGTGTTTCCAACTCTACAAGAAGAGAAGCTGGGTGCGATGTTTCTTCACTGTTTATTCTGGTTGTCAGGGCCGGTAACAGAGGACTCACTGCCGCAATAGGCAAGGGAGGTCTGTGTGGGTTAGTTGTGCAGAGATCATAACCCGTCAGCGGAGAGGGCATCCCCTCTAGAGTAGTGTCCTTCAAACTGTGACACAGCACAATTCCCTCCAAATTAAATGTTTGATTATTTTCCTTTCATACCAACAGTTTCCTCCTTGACTTGAGAGAGGTGCCATATGAAGTATCTAAACCAATTTGCATTGCGGTTCTCAATGGCTCCCATTGTACTTCCCACCTGGCGCTTTTTCAGACAACCCGGGACCCAATTCACATGCAAATAAAAGTGTCCCTTTCCCCCAGGACCTTAGTAGTTTCCAGGTTTCTGTTAAAGACCTTTCACCAGCAGCTTTTCTTTATCCAGCAGTACTGCAAATAGCTGGTAGCTACATCTAAATTAGAAGAAGGCACAAAAAAAGAATTACTAAGAAGAAGTTGTCTCTGTGGTATTTGATGTGCTGGATTTGTGTGTTTTCACTTTAGAAAATAGGCTTCTAGGCAACTGGGACAGTGCTTTTTATAGAGCCTGATGCCGCAGGCAGAAGTGGAGACTGCCTGATTCCCGAACCACCACGGAGATGAGGGAGGGGACCATTGGCTCTCGCTGCTCCTCCTCAGCCCCAACTAGTTCTGTGCAGATACCATCGCAAACCAAGGTGGCTCCCCAAACCTCTCTCTGTTTTAGCAATCCTTCCCCAGCCACAACACTGGAGGAGTCTGTTGTGCATTAAGAATGCACAACAAATCAACAAACGATGTGCAGAAAAAAGGAACCCTCGTGCACTGCTGGTGGGAATGCAGGTTGGTGCAGCCACTGTGGAAGACAGTTACGGAGTCTCCTCAGAAAGTTAAAAATAGAACTCCCATTTGACCCAGTAATCCCACTTCTAGGAATATATCCCCCAAAACCAGAAACATCAATCAGAAAGAATATAGGTATGTGCACCCCATGTGTTCATAGCAGCACAATTTACCATAGCTAACACTTGGAAACAGCCTAAATGGTCATCAGCAGATGAGTGGATTAAAAAACTGGTATATCTACACAATGGAATATTATGCCACTATAAAATAAAATAAAAAGGAATTATTACCATTTGCAACAGCATGGATGGAAATGGAGAGCATTATGCTAAGTGAAATAAGCCAGTCGGAGAAAGATAAATCAATACACACACATATACATATCTATACATATATATAGACATCATATCTAATCTCAGAGGCTAGAAGTATTAGATACATCAAGTGGCCAGACGTAGGGGTGTCGAACTCAATCAGAGAAGGGGCCAAAATCTAAAATCCAGCCTAAATCGCGGGCCGAATGGTTTACTGAACAGTCATAAACTGTCATTGTGATGGAAACGCAGCGGAGTGCAGTGATGACAGCGCGGTGCGGGCCACATTGCAAGGCCTGGCGGGACGGATTTGGCCCTCGGGCCTTGTGTTTGACACATGTGGCAGAGGATCTTGGCTTCTAAGTGCCATAAGCTTTTAAAGGGAACCAGGGCTGAGTCCAGGGCTTGGACTGGGAAAGTGCAAAGTAAGCTTGGAGGGAAGTGCTCAGAGCATGATGAGAGCATGCCAAAAGGACACATAAGCCAGCTCAATGAGGCTCCCACTGGCCAAATCTGAGACAATTTGAGCATCAAAATAAAGAGTGATAGTAACTGATTCTAACCCATGGGCTAAAACAAGAATCCATGAATCCATGCTAATACAAAGGGATAAATAAATAATGATAGAACAAATAAATAAATGGAAAAGGAAGGATATCTCTTTCTTGTGGAAGATGTCAACTAAGATGGTGGAGATAGAATGTCACCCCTTGACAATGTTATTTGACTTAGGCAGGAGTCCTTAGTGGGTGCTAAGGTGGGTGAGTGGGTATGTGGATGCTTGATGTGAAGAAGGATATAGCCTACTCTTAAAGTAGCTTCTGAAAAGTACTTATTGATGACAAGATGGGAAATGGTTAATTTACTGAAGAGAACCCTGGGAGACAGCAAATTGACCAAGTGATCAAATAAGCATAGCCAGCAGGAAAACTGGTCATGTCACGTGCTTCCTGTTGTGATATGCGGAGGAGAGCACAGCATCTTTTCTGTCACATTTCTGCTAAGAATGCATAGCCTGAGTCTGGACTTAGGAAACCTTTCAATGGGCCCAGAATGAGAGGCATCCCACAAAACAAAAGGTCTGTATTCTTTAAAACTCTTATAGCTTATGAGAGACAGAGAAAGATGCAAGAACCAATCAATCCAAATTAAAGGAGCCTTAAGAGTTGTGACAACTAAAGGCAACAAATGATGCTGTACTGGCTCCTGGTCCAGACAGGAAAAATAAACAGTTTATTTTTCTGACCTGGATGTCCACACTATGTAGAATGTCCTTGTGTGGAAATATTGCCCTTAAACAAGGATGGGTAACATCTGCCAGAGGGCCATAGAAGGCTCTCGAAATTATTTGGTCTGGCCCTGCCAAGGCATTAGGGGTGATTTAATTAAATGTTTGACCAAATATAACAGGCTGATTTTTAAGTGGATAATTTTTGCATGGCCCATGAATGATGTTATAAATATCCAAATGGCCCTTGGCAGAAAAAAGGTTCCCTACCCCTGCCCTAAAGTATTTAGTAGTGATAAGGTATTCTGTCTGTACCTTGTTTTCAAGTGGTTCAGGAAAAAAATAATGATAATCTGTAAGATCTTGGTTTCTACTACCCATTACTTCAGTGAAGCTGAAATCTAATTCATGATAAAATAGAAAGTCAAAAGCCCATTATTTGGGGTGGGGAGGGGGGAAGAGAGAGGTGAGGAATATTCATCTATTGCCACCTTTGTGCTAATCATTCTCTTCCAGCACAACTGCTCCTTTGCTCCAGTAGCTTCACTTGAACCACTGAGCTGGGTATTCCAGAGGGAATAAAATGAATAAGGTTCTCCTTTTCATGGAGTTTACATTCTGAGGTGGGAGAAGTCAGAAAAAAAAAATAAGTTTTAGATTATGTCAGAAAGTGGTATTAAGACCAAGGCAACAGGCTGAGGGAGGGTGACCTATTTACACTAATAAAAGAGAAAAATGCTAATTGACTGTACCTTTGCTATGTCCACAGCCAATCAGAGTGAGTATGCAAATTAACCCAACAAAGATTAGTTTGCACATGCTGAGGGAGGGAGGAGTGAAGACTGAAGACAGCTTAGAAGGAAGAGGGAGGAAAAGCAGAAAGCAAGGAGGCTGCCAGAGGGAAAGCACAGGCAGAGTAGGGCAGGAGGCAGCTGTGGAGGCAGTGTGCGTGGCCACAGTGGCCACTTGCAGGAATCTTCCTGCAAACAGGCTCCTAGGGTTATATAAGGTGCTATTGTACATCGGGATCAGTTGCTCTGATGAGGTGACTTCAGAACAGAATCCTGAAAGAAGGGAGGGGATCCAAGTGTATGTTTGGGGGCCCGGTTGTACCACAAAGAGGAACCGTACATGCAGTGGCCTTGAGGTAAGTTTGTGCTTATTGTGTTTGAAGAACAGCAAAGAAACCATGGAGGATGGAGAGGTGCCAGAGAAAAAGTGAAGCAGATGAGTGAGGGGGTGGGGTGGAGAGCCCATGGAGCCTTATAGTCCAGGGTGACAACACTTTGCCTTTTATTCTGAGTGAGAGGAAAAACCTTTGGAGAGGATTTTTCCTTAAGGAGCGAAGTGACACAGTTTTAAAAGTTTTTTCTGATGGTATTGGAGCAGGTTCGGAAGCAAGGAGAACAATCATGAGCTATAACCATAATTTGGAAATCAGAGGATAGTGTTGTTTGTACCAAGACAGTGGCAATGAACAAGGTGAGAAGTGATTGGATCGCAAGTATATTTTGAAGATGGAACATACAGAATCTTCTGGGGCATCTGGAATGGGGTATGAAAGAAAAGACTGCAGAAGGACTCTACAGTTTGGAGCCTAAGAAACTGGTGGGAGGATGTTGTCATTATCTGAGAAGAGGGAGGCTGTAGGAGGAGTTGTTTAGGGTAAGAATCCCGTAATTCGCCTCTGGAAGGAAGATTACCAGATCAAAGCACATGAATGGTTTTCAAGTTCTCCACAGGTCCAGGATGCAAATTGCTTTTCCAAAGATCAGCCACACTTACTCTGTCGTGCCCCAAAGTAAAGGGAGCTCCCTGAAGTCGTTTTTGAAATATCACCAGAAGACAACTTCGTGGTGAGTCTGGGCCTAAGGGGGGACTTGCTCCCTCAGCCAAGCAGCACAGGCCGCAATGGATTAGTGGGTGTCTCCGGGGCTCTTGGGT